GTTTCGTAGTCGAAGTACGAAACCAAAAAGGGTTTCATACGAAACTTAAAACGGTTTAGAAATGGTTGCACTTCTCTATACCCTTTTAAGTTTCGTAATAAACCTTTTTTTTTTAGAGAGTAAAGGATCGCCGAATCGCAGATAGATTTGGCAATCACTCGAGCATTATCGACTACGGACAACTTTTGTATCATTGCCGTGGGATGGGATTGCTGTTGCCTGGGTACAGCTTTTGCACGTTGTACACAGGGAAGAAGAAGAGCTACGGACAGGATGATCATGGTAGAAGGTAGAAAAAATGCAGCACTGCTGTTCATAGCAGCCTGGCATGTGAAACGTTCTCTTTTTTTTGAAAAATCGTTCCCTTCTCCTTTTTCTCCCCTTGACCATAGCTTTATTCTTTCTGTCCTATCTGCGATTTTGGTTATAGATATATCAGAAGCAGTGAAAAAGAGGACATGATGGCCAAATGTAAGAGAAGGAGAAGGAAAAGATTTTTCGAAAAAAGAGGCGTTTCACATACCAGATAGCAGCAGATCATTCTGTTAGCATAAAATATTCAGAGTAGAAGAAGTCAAGAATATGATAGGTGAAACTCTTTTTTTCTTTCTTCGATACGGTTAATATTTGCCCTCACTCCGGGAGCTGTGACGAAAAGAATTAGCGATATACAATAACAAAACTCTTCACTTTTTTCGCTGCCTGAAGTAACAGTGACAGTTTTGGGACTCGTAGGAAATCCGATACAATGATCAGACTGGGAAAATCAAGGTCTCGCTTGACTTTCGTTTTGAAGAGAAGACCCCGGGCCACCAGTCCATGAAAAAAATCAATACAATCCTATCGGAAAATTTTTACATATGGGCTACTTTTTCAGAGGTCTCCTAGAAAACCTGTTTCAGAAAACTCTTCCGAAAAATATTTCGCTTGTCGAAACATGTCCATAAGTCTCCTCTTTCGCTTGGCAAAAATCGGAACTCTGTAGCTGCTATATAGCAAAACTTATTCCAAAAACATCCGTGGTCTTTATATTTTGAAATGAATAGTAACTCCGGTAATTTTACTCAAGGCAGATTTGGGAATTCTTCATCTGCCATAGTGTGGTGGAATTTTGAAGCACCCATTTAAAAGAAGGGATTTTACAGGCGAACTGGGCACTGCGATTGGTGGTATTACTGTACCAACCAAATATCCAAGCCTTGATGTTGGTATGATTTATATAGGTGTTGTTGTGTCTATAGATGATCTTTTATTCTCTATATTGGCTACAAGACCTAGCTTTTGTCACTATGTTGTGATACTTCCTGTTGGATATTTAATGTTATACACAGATGCAAATGAACATATCTATCAAATTAATCTGAATACAAACAAACAAGCTATTTTACTTGATAACTCACGCGGTTCAGCTACTACTTGTGGCTTAGTTTATGATTCGACAAATAATGAGATTTATTTCTTTGGTGTACAATTGATGCATAGTCGTCCAGATGGTACACAATTAAAAAATATAACTTAATATTTGAATTTAACTGATAACAACCCTTGCTTTCAAATTTTAGTTGATAGTCATGTAAATCCTGCAAATCCTCCTTCGTATTTGGCATTTAATGGCGGTATCTATATGATCGATACTGATAGTAAGGATTTTCTTCCAAATTCCAAGAAAGTTGGTTTTTACTTTTTTCACTTTTAAGCATAAATTAGGCACTTGTTGCTTGATTTTAACTTTTCTAATTCCATTTCCTCTAAGTTATCAGCTGCTATAACAGTGTAACCTTTTGTATCCATTCACTGATGCTCGGTAACGATTACAATTGAACGTATTTGTAAGTTGAACAAAATGATCGCGTAATTATTATGGAAATGAATAAATACTGTTTCTGTTGGGCTTGTAAAAAGATTTTGAAATCGCTGTAAGTAGGGGTTCTAGAAAACCGTGATTTTCTCACTACTCTATAACACTAAAAAAAATGATTTTTAAAGTGTGAGAATAACGGGATTTACAGAGGATCTCTATGAAATCTCAGAAGAAAGGATTTTTAAACAACAATTTTTGACTACAAATCGCAGAGTTTTTTGCGTCGACTCAATTTGTTAGACACATTGCAAATTTTTAAGTAATAAAAAGTAGCAGGTCGAAGGATTCGAAACAAGTTTTGAGTTGACGTTTAACGATTTTCCATAATTTTCTGATTCTAATTCAATTTTGCGTACGATACCTATCTTTTTAGATTTTTATGCTCACTCCGGAGCACACCTATGTACCATCAAGTAAATGCGTTGTATACAGAATAGATCTAAAAAATAATGTGCTAATGCGCACTCGATACAAAGGCTTTTCCACTTATTATAGAACGAGATAAGGGGCTGAACAACTAAGAGTTATGAAACCGGTTATGATATTTGTTAGAGATCTGCATTAGATGGATTTGTCCATGAACATAGACGGACATGGACAGGTATAAAAAAGTTTACTGTACAATCGCAATATCAGCTATTGCAGATTTGAGACATAAGAAATTTTATCTTAGTCATGAAGTAAAAGAGAAGTAGTTTCGTCTACGTCTGTCATATTATCTTCTCTTTTCTTCAGTCATATTCACACATGTAGAACAGATTATTCTACTTACTGAAAGGAAACTACTTCACGTTTTTCTAGAATATTTTCAGAAAAAAATGTTCGCTCATGGACAAAGCATGGACATGTACAAAATTTTTCTTTTGTCCATGGACGAGCGGACGATCTACCCATAGGCATGGACAGAAAAAAATTGTCCATGCAGATCTCTAATATTTGTGCTGACATTTTCGCAAGCCTCAGGACAGGATACGTCAGGTTTTAAAAACTTTTGAGAAATCATGACGATATTCTCTTCTAATATAGAGCTCAAGAAGACACATCTGCCTATGTGATTTTCAGGGCCTTCAGGCTGGGTAATTGTACAGTAAAATGAAAAGTATTACGGTGTACGTAAAACTTACAAGCAGAACAGATTACTATCTGCTATTATATGTTAGTGTAAGTAGAGACATTACTTTTAATGTCTCATTTAAAATAAAATGAGAACAATAAAAGCACAGACATTTCCAGTCAGACACATGTATATCATATGACTTTTATTCAAAATGTATATTTCCACTACCCATTTTTGCGCGACAAAATTTTTTTCATCGTAAGACAATCCTTTTCTGTACAATTAGAAACGTTTTTTGAATGCAGAAATCTTGAAATTTCAGACATTATCGACGTTGTTCTATAATTTCATCTCAGTATTCTGCCTTCTACAGTGAACAATTTATGCAATAGTATTATTGTTTATGCACGTAGGAATGTTTTTATTGGTTTTTTAAATCGTGCATTGGAAAAATGTAATCAGGCATAAATCGTACTCATTCCTATAAAAATGTTTTAGTCATCATTAAATTTTAATTAATTTTTAAATGTGTAAAAATTTATGCATCCAAAAACGTATGGTAAAGACAACGTGATAGTGTATCACTATGTTTATCTATCTATATAGAAAATATATAACTTCTCAGATTGAAAAAACAGAATTTCTTAACTTTTTTGTGAATTACTCTAATCAGTGCCGGTTTCTTAAACGATGTCATAATCAGATTAAAAACTCAAGAACAGATCAAGAAAATACGTTTTATCAATGCTGTATCTAACAGTTTCAGTACTAACATCACTAGCTCCTGGAATAAGCAGTAAAACACTAAAGAAACGCATGCGTCAATTCTATTCGGTCTTGCTAAATGGAAAGTTTTAGGCGGGTTCATAATTCCAAATCCAAGTCATTGTCGAAGTTTCATTTTACTTTCGTAAAAAGAAGCGTCGTTGATTACTATCAGTTTTAAGATGCTTGTGTGAACTTAAAATTAAAATAGAAAATTAATGATATGCAATATAATGTAATTGTAATGTGATAAAAATGCCTGATAGTTACGCGTGATATTTTAGCCGCATTTGTAGTTTAATGAAGAACAATTAAGTCAGAAACAACATGAAATTTAAGAGGATTTAGATGGTGTTTCGGATCATATATTTATGGTATCCAGACCAAATGAGTCGGATGATTACCAAGTAGAAGCGAAAGAAGAGATCGATGTGTATGAATAAATTTAAACAATTAACCATCTACAACAATGTGATACTACAGCTAAAATCAATATCAGCAGTTCATTAACTATGTGATACAATCGTTAAACTTAGTCATGAGTTAAATTGATGAATCTGGTCTTCAACAGTTAATTCATTGCCTATGTACTGTGATTTTTAAGCCGAATCATTTATCAAGTACATTTGACGAATTGTTTCTTTTAGTCAGCTGACTAATCGAACATATAATGTCCTAGGACATAAAAACATCAAAAGTTAACCATTCTTACAAATTATGCTTGAGTGAGTTCACCAATAAGATCGTATTTATTCACCAAACTGTATTCCCAAACAAAACGACTTTTTTGGAAGCTAGTTTAATCTAGATTAAGAGGACCATCTACCTAGCTTAAGCTAGATTAGAAACAGCTGCAGTTAGATAAATGTTTCTTTTAATCTAGGTTACGCTAGCTCCAAAAGCGTTTTTCTTCTGTGGTATTGTACAACAACGAACGTTTATTCCTTAATGCTTGTAAATCAACATTCATTTTAGAATATTTCTATGGGTAAGAAAAGAAAACATATGACAATCAGCACGGAATCGACGTTAACTATTTTACTTATGTGATTCTATAGAAACAGGTTGCAGATGATGACGAATAGAATAACGAGTAAGAAAGAGAAATTTTGTAAAAAATTAACAAGAACTTTTGTGAACACCTATGTATGATATTGAGTGTAGTGTAGCACGAGAATTGCTAAAACAAATAATTCTATTATCTACAAATTTTATAAACTCATATTATATCGATGACCAATTTCTTGAAAGACAAAAACATGTCTATCTTATTTAATAGAAAAATTTGTTTATAGTTCGATGTTAAACGTTAATTCCATTAAGGAGGATGAGAGTACCCCTAGTGGAATGTACCTTTGCACTCTAAACGAAAATTGATTTTGAGTTCTTGAGAGCTGAAGAACAAAATCTGAGTTCTCTATTTGGCACAAATGAAGAACAAAACTCCCATTGATTTTTCAGTTCTTTAAAATACGGAAGAACACCTTATTTTTAGGGTGTGTAAGAGAGTAGGTCGGGCAATAATGTCACAGAGTACCTGAAATTTTTTGCAAGTAAAAAAGACACTTATCACATAATTTAACAAATACAGGTAACTTGATAACTATTTACGAAATGTATGCAAGTATCCGAAATTCTTTCATACCTGGTAGCATATTAAGCCTAGAAACAGTTGATAAGTGTTTAACCAAATACTTTTGAAAATTTACGAGTAGAGCATTTACTTGAAGATTCGTATATTAAGATATGAGAATTCATTTTGCGATGAGTATTGTTAGCATACAGTGATTTATTCTTGAAATAATACATATCTTGTTACCATTTCAAGATAGCGTGCATTAGCGCCATCTTTTTACTTTGTTCTGATTGATTCTTTCCGAGCAGAAATAAAAATACAACAATAGCCGTCGTAGACTGTTGTTTTTCGTTTGTTTATTTGTTGCGAAATAAAAAAATATATATTGTATATTAAAACATAAAAAATATTAAAAGGCTAAAGAAAAACCAACTATATTCGCCATTTTGTAGTAATGACAGTCAACGAACCAACAAACTCGAATGTGCAATGTGAGAAAGATTTCTGTTTTCATGTACTAGCTACTCGTATTTTTTCCACGTCATTTTTTTGCTACATATTATTTATTTTAGACTTTTTCACCTACTCCTAGCTGTTATTTTCGTTGGAGCAACGTATTATTATTTGGCTATCAGTATTAGAAACATTTGTTTCTTGATCTTTGACACATGTTTAATGGTTATCTAATGACTCATCGACCTTGTAGAACTAGAACCACTCATAACTATGAATATGACGTAAAAGAAAAGCCAAATGACCAAAACTGTTTTTCATATTACTCGAAGAGCCTCTAACCGACTTTAAATTGGAAACAAGCTCGTTTAAAATGATATTGGAAAAAAGTTTTAAAATGGTAATCCCTAGATACCCATTCGAAAAAAGTCTTCATAATGCATATGTTAAGTCACATTTTTCTTTTGTCTGGATTATATCTAATTTACAAGTTTCATCTACTAATGGATTTTCAGAGAGGAAAAGAAGATGCTTTTCGATTCTTTTATAATCATTAGTAACAGCTGTTTATTATAGACTATTTCCAAGTTTAAGTGTCATTCACATAACGATAATGTAAGCAGAATTGAACTTCGAGATAGTAGTATCTAAACAATAAAAAAATTTTTGTTTGTCTATGGTTTTTTGTGTTTTTGACATCGTTATTTGTGTCCTTTTCTATTTCCTTTAGACCTCGCGTTTACTGTCTATATAGTTTCATGTAATACAAATCAAAGACAAAACAAAAAAAAAAAAAAAAAATTTTTTTTCGCATATTTTCAAGTATGAAAATGACAGTAGCGAAAGAAATGAAAAAAGATAAGTAGATTTGACTTTTCTTATATTCAACTCTCTCTTCCATATTAATATTTAAACAGAAATATAGCAGAGAAAAAAAAAATGAGTTTTTTTCGTCTCAGCAATTCAGTCGAATTACACATCTTCATTCTTTATCGTATATGACGTATGATAAAAAAATATTATTAGATTGTCTATTGATGAATAATATTTTTTTTCATCTTAATTTATAAAATAGAAATATGTACCATGTTCTTTCCCATGTGACATGTTGAACTAGTTAATAGTCTCGTCTGAGACAAAACTTAATGTTTTAAATTATACATTTATTGTAAACTAGTGTATAAATCTTGAAAAAACTTATTACAATTAGCATGGATATATATGTATATATTTGCTTGATGCTGCTATCCTACTATTCACTAATTATTTTTCTTTTCTTTCGATAATCACTCATCTACGCACTAGAAAAAGTTCTTACTCTAAAATAGATTTCAAACACTGTAATTATTATAAATCTGAGATATTACAACTTGTGAGTCTCTGTAGTATAATATTTCCATCTCACTTATCTACTTTTTTTTCAAAGATATCAGTAATATGCGTTATATCTTATGTGTAAACATTGGACATAATTTTATAATAATTTTTTTGTTGTTGAAAAAAAAAAGATTTATGAATTGAGCAGTGGATAGAGTAATTGAATTTCATTTGAATAGATATTGCTGAGTGAAGTGTTGCACTAAAAATCAATATTGTATTTTTCTTTTCTGTTTTAGATTTTATCTTTTGATATATATATATAGATTTTTTTGTGTATGTAATATTCATATTATTATTATCAGTAAAACATTCGTAAAAAGATCATTTCCGTCCGATCGCTATGAATTAAAAGAAGTGTATGTCTATGTGTGAAAAAGAAAGATTACTATAGTTTAATAACTTCTTTCTCCTTTTCCTTATGAACAAAAATCGGTATATATATATATATATACAGAACAAACAGAGACTTTGTTTTTTTTTTGTTTTTTTTCTATTTTTGTTCCTTCGTATAGTTCAGCTGATGTGAACCGATTGCCAATATTGTCGATTTCGTCAAATATTCCAATGAATTCGGCAACAAGTGACGAAGACGAATTGGAACGATCGACCAATAGTCAAAAATCAACTCAAAAAGTAACATCGAATATTACAAGTTCACTTAATTCATTGCCATCTTCAATTAAATCAGATTTAAGTATGTTTTTATTAAAACAATAATAATTCGTAATCTATATTCTTAATCTCCTTAGATCGTGATAAGAAGCGTATAAGAACAGTATCACAACCAAAAGGGACAACATCGCATACAGTAAATAAAAAAAACAAATACAAAATCTGTTAAGAAGCAAAGAAATAATTTACTTTTTATTCTTTACAGGCTAATAATAATGATACGTTGGAAAAAATTGCCTTGAGATATAATACAACACCATCTGAATTAGTACAACTTAATAAACTTTTAACACGAACAATATTTCCTGGTCAGGTATATGGGTAACAATTTATTTGAATGTCTGATTTAAATTAGAATTTTTGTTTTTTATGTATTTTACAGACGTTATTTGTACCTGAATGTGAACAGCAATTAACATCAAGTAATAACAAGACAACAGTTAATGTAAGTGATGTTCTATACTAATACGAGAGTAATAATATTTTTTTTAAAGATATATTTCTTTCTGCTTTGTTTTAGCCTTTACCTGTAGAACCTTTACCTAATGATTTATCATCCGATCGACATCATTCAACATCATCACATGGTGGAAGTATAAATAAAACATTTTCATTATCGACTGATGAAGAAAAAAATTCGAAATTTATCGTTAATAATTTTCTTGAAACGTCACATCCGCAACAAGATGTTGGACCAATTGTTTGGTCACTTACTGCAAACACAAATAAAACACCAACGCCAACAACAACAACAACGACATCATCCTCAGCTTCATCAACAACTGCTTCATCATCATTCAAATTTCCAGCAACCGTTGCTACAACAGTTATGCCTGGAGTTATTCCTGGAGCAAGACCCGGTCATGTTGAACGTCTAAAGAGCGAACCGAAAAGTACAATATTACCGCTATTTGAAACAGATGCTATGGACGTAGACGACCACGAAAAACCGCCCACATACAATGAATTAATGCAAACAACAAAACAATCGCATTTACAACATCTACAAAAAGCTTTATCACAAGATGAAAGTCAACAATTAGATGAAGAATGTTTGCAACGCTTCATCAAAGTGAATGTCAAATTAATGGCAGAAAATAGAGTAGGTTTTAGTATAAACTCTATTCTTTTTTACAAGTTGAAAAGTGTCAACTACCAGAAACATTTTTTACGCATGTTGCTTAAAAGGATTTTATCTCACTTTTGAAATATTATTTCTCAGCATGTTTTTTTCTTTCTGTTATTCTAGTGTAGTGTTAGTGGAACATTATTAGTAACACCGAATGCAGTTATGTTTGATCCTGATGTATTAGATCCATTAGTTAAACACAATGGCATAGATAAATATGGACTTATTATTAGGTAAAGGATTAGTTAGATAAACCGTTCCTAGTCATATAAATCAGAAAGAACGTTTCGAAAGTTAATATTACAAGAGTCCTTGATGTTACGATCCAGCGATATGTTCTAATGTTATCTCACGATGGATTTTTATGGAATGTATAAAGTCTTTGTTTGTTTAGAATGGAAATGATTGCTGGTATCGCATTATACGAAGATATAGCAATGTATGAACATGAAGCAACAGCACGGTAAGAGCATACATTGAATTTGTCTTGTGCGCATTCTTCTATTATTTTTATTTTTTTATTTATTTTCTTTTAATAGTGATTTAGAGAAAAATAAATTGTGTCATTCAACAAGCATACAACAAAGTCTTCATGATATTGAACATGTGATGAACCATACAAGCGATTGTGAAACTGACGTCCAACATACAATTGATTTTATATTGGAGTCAATTGAAAGTAGTTTTGGTGAAAAAACGTTAAAACATCAATCATCTTCAACGTGTATGGTTTATAATGCGTCTCCCACACATCAACGCCAAGAATTATTCACAAAAATAGAATCGTATACCAATGAGAATGAAAATAATTACATGCCAAATACCATGACAACTGATATGATTGACATGTTTAAACCAATTGGCGATTTTAAACATTCAATAACTATCTTATTAGAAGATGAATTTTTAAAAATAAAAACACGTACGTATTCGTGTGTATCGTGTGACGTTAATTCATTATTCTTTACTCGAATCATAGTCTGTCAATACTGCAGTACTGTTAAATTAAAAGAAACGATTGAGAAAGCAATCGAACCATTATGATCAGAAACTCGCTACAGTGACGTATCTAACATATAATTTCTACATAAGTTGCGATTGTATAAAGATGTATTCGTTTTGATTATTATCAAAAAGATTGTATTAACAAAACAATATGTAGAACATTTATGAGGCTATAAATTCACTAAGAGTAGCAACAAGGACAAACATGAGAGTTTTGCTAAAAGGAAACTAATTAATTATTGTTTGTCTCTTTTAAAGCAATGTTCAGTCTTACACAGTTTCTGTGGGCAATAAAAGTACGAAAAGGTAAAAAAGAAATAGTTTCTTTTTTAATCATTTGGAGACAGGAGCTACTATCTATTTTCTGCTTTGCTCATACTCAAGAATACATTAGTGCTTATTTTTTATAGTAATTACTATTTATTGCCATTTTTCTTCCCGAAATACTTATTTACATCTTTTCCTATTTTCTAGAAAAATGTCATCTTGAAAATTGTGTACCCATTGATGGATTAACAAAGCGATTTGGTGAAATAGATGGTATTAAAAAATAAACAAAGAAGACCAGCAAAAACGTTTATATAAGTTCATATTTTGCTTTTTTAGAACTGTTACAAAAACAACAAGCAATGTTTGTATTACCGGTGATTGAAATTCCTTATTATTTATGCGTTAAAACGACAACAGTTCAACCAAAAAAACAACAGACACAATCAAATTTCGGAGATGTTTATGGAAAAAAGCAGTTAGATAATGAGTATTGGTTTTCAGTGCCGAAGGAAAAGTATGTAATCTATCACACTCCTATAGACAAAAGATCGTTCTGTTTGAATGAATAAGGTGTCATTTATAGCCATTTTGAATTATAATGAGTTTCTTATTTACTGAGATTTTTGAGGTGAAAAATAGAAAGATCAAATCACTATATCCTCGACTAAGAATCGATCTATTTTTCTTATCAGTGAAAACTAGAATAGAAAATACAGTGTGTTTCTTGATACAGTACTGTCCTATTTGAGAGAGATATCGTTCAGGGGTATAGCCGGTATCAATAATTCGATACCGAAACCGAGCACCGGTATACAAACTTCGTACCGGTACCGTCCAGTATACAAATGACCAGTTTACTGGTCGGTACCGGCTTGTCTTGATCGTGTTTTGACCAAATACAAATACTTTTTTCAAAATCAATTGTAAATCAATATTTACCAAGTACAAATTCTTGAGATTTTAGTTTTGTTTAAAGATCTGTGGATGACAACTTATCAGTGTCCATTTTTTTTAAAATGAAGTTATGATCATGTTTCTTTCATACATGTGAGGAAGTCTGTTAATATTCGGCGAAAAAAAACGATTACTCTTCGTCTGATCAATTACTTATGCTATTAAAGGGATAGATTTATCTTTTCACTTTGATTATGTATGGCTGATTTTTCACACGCTTTTTTTAAACGAAAACAGCAATTCAATTCAATTTTTTAAACTAAGAATTTTATATGGACCGATAAGTTTAAGTAATTGGAAGAAATATATCACAGATGCACTGATGCCGGTACACCGGTCAGTATTATAATTTCTACCGATATTAGTTGCATCTCTGATATCGTGACAGTCAGTCTCCTGTCACTATTTACCACCCATCAAAACTGATCGTTTTCTCGTCTCCACTCGAACTGGATGGACATAATGAAGGTATCGCGCATCTCACCGCTGCATGTTCTACACAGATTTACAATGCTAACTAACTATGAATGTTCTATTGAGGAAATCCAGTTTTACGTTAAAGTCGTCATTTTATCGAAGTTTTTTTCAGAAAAGTCGAGAAAATTCGTTTTTTACAGACCTGGCAGCTTTTAGCCTGGATATCAAATGAATCACGCATTCCATCTCAATATTTTCCGTAAAAGGCAAGTAAAACAGCTGGACGTAGGCATAAGTAGAAAGAAATTTGATGTTACTTTTTTTGTTTTCATCGTGACAGAGGAGTGGCAGTAGATTCCAAATGACTGTCGTCCAGATAGTAAGAGTGTCTTTAACGTTCGTCTTTTTCTGAGAAAAAAAGCAGAAAGATTAGAATTATTCAGTGAAGATCATTCTCATGATTTCCTGCTGGTTGTGACACTCATGTTGTTTCATCCATTTGAATGAAATACGGTATTATGAATATATATACTTGTTACATTATGTAAACTTTTTCGTCTTTAATGAGAGAGAGAAAGATAAATGACGATTATACGCTATCAATTAAGATATTTTATCGATTTAGATTTTGTTCTATCTTTTAAATCGATAACACATGTTTGATCTTACATTTAAATAAAGCGATAACAAAAAAAATTTTGTTGCGTTTCTTTTTTTATTTCAAACTCGGAGTAAAGTCATGTGTTAACAAGTTAATTGAAAAAAGATACAATTTTGATTAATACTTCTGTTTTTTTTTCATTCTTTTCTACATTCATATACAGATACCTCGAATTTTGATCAAAGGATAGTTGAATGCAAAGAAAAATGAGTTTAGCCGTTCTTAAACTCTGTCTGTTACCAACTAGAAATGAACGTCAGGAGTTTTCTTTTGACAAAATGAGTACCACGACAATTGAAGATAGTGATAGTTTTGTTGACATCGATCGTAAGTATTTCGATATTTTTTATTTCCGCACAATATCGTTAATCATTCGATTGAGTTGGTTTAATTTTATTTTTTAACTCAAAAGTCGAAATCATTCTTTTAAATTGAATAAAATATCTATAAAAGAAGCGCAGAAAAATTTAGTTTTATTGGAAAAAAATTCTAAATATTCATTCAAACATAATGATTCGTTCTGCTTTAGTTGAGTTCTTTATCTCTTACATTTATTTTTTAATCACCTAATATAGAGTTGACAATTTATATTCCTTTTTCTTACGATGGAATCCAGAATTACCATCAGATGACGATAATAATCATCATCACAACACCGGTCATGATCATTCGTCAATGCAAGATGATAATTCAAAAGGTTTTGTATTATTAGCAAATGATGATCCAGAATTAACAAATTCAAAATCATCACAATCAAACCATTATTTAAGAAGACAAAATACATTACTCAAAGAATGGGAGGTAAGAAATAATTTGAAAAAACAAAACAAAATGTTCGTATAAAATTTGATTCTTTGTTCAAACTAAGATAAAAATAGGAGAGAAAAAGAAACATCATTCATGTTATTTTACTCTCATGAGACTTTATTATGTCTATTATCATTATATGAATTGAGTGTCATCCTAAAAATTATTCTAACGAAAAAAAAAAAGAAGAAGAAAACGACATGCAAAAAAAAAAAAAAGAAAATAGTTTTTGCATGTCATTTACTTGATCAGACTGTTATGATTTAAGACATCTTCGACATAAGTTAGTTTTGTACTTGACGGTTGTCACTTCTAATAGTAGGTGAAGAAAAAAAACGAACAAAAGTTTATTGTTGTACTCATGATTTTTAAAAAAAACAACAAAAAAAACCCAAAATAAACTGTCCAGTCATCATCACATTGTTGTATGAAAAATAACAACAACAATGAATGCTTAGCTTAATACTGATATTGATTTCAATCTTTAGTAAAACAAGAGATGTGAAAGATAATTTGTTTCTTCTAAATTTATCTTACTGTGTCCATTTTAGTCGATATTGATTATAATTATACGGATATTGTTAGTGTTTATTTATTTATTTTTATTATTCAATAGATGTTTAATAGAGAGAGAGAGAGAGAGAGAAAGAAGAAAATAAGAATACGATAAAAATAGAAAAAGAAATATTTTTTACTATTCTCTTCGATTGAACGGAAAAGCAGATAGAACACGATTGATTGCTTTATTACTATAGATATCTATAGTACACTTCTTTTTTTTACTACACATGTAAAAAGAGTTCTAAACGATTAAAGCTATGAAACTGTCTGTATCGTGTTCTTAACTGATAAATTGTGATAATAGAATTTATTATCTTATTTTATGTTTTTATAGTTAACAATTTATAGTTGATCGATGGATTGCAGGAAAAAAATATTTGAAAAAAATCAATAATGGTCATTGTTTATGAAAGTCTTAAAATAATTGATTTTTTTCTCTATTATATAGAAAATTTTGTAATTTAGCTCATTGATACTTGTTAATAATCGATGATCATTGAGCATTATTAAAAACTCCCTCTCTCTCTCTCTCTCATATAGTTGTAAGATAATAGAAGTTTGATATAAAAAGTAAAATTGACAATGAACATTTTTTGATTTAATCTTTTTTTTTTCTAGAAATTAAATTACAGTTACAACAGTAGAAAATCAGTTGATTATGATTATTTTTAGTTTCTTCTCCCTATTAAATTTTAAAATGTATTTGATTCATTGAGACGTTTAGACTATTCATAGTAGATTTTAACATATGTGAACAGAAGAAATCTTTAGTTTCGAAGTATACACGATGATTATCAGAAGAAAAAAACATACAAAATCATTCATTTACACCAAGTGTCTATTGTGTAATAAACATAGAATATGTGAGTTGATGACATTAATAAAATTAACTGGTAGATAAGAGTAGAAAATAAAATATCTCATCCTTTTTTTATGTCAACAGACATTATACAATCGTCCAGGAATTTTATTTTTTGCTCTTGTTTGGTTATCTTTTTTGTTTTACAAAATGTGCACATCATGATCTAGAGAACTACGGCTACGTAGGAAACTTCATGAAATTCTCTGGGTACTGAAGATTATCCTGTGTATGTTCTTTTTTTCAAAAAAAAATTCTAGATTCAGCACCATAAACTTCACAAGTGGAAGAAAAAAAAAGTGTTTTGGATTTAGAAGTTTTTCATAGTTCATTAGCATCAGTTGTCCGGCGTCAGTATTCTTCAAATGATTTTCTTTTCTTTTGTTTTTAAAGTATATCTGATTGATATTATCAGGGATGTCTCTCTTGTGAGACATTTAAGGTACAATGTCTTAAACAAAAGTAATGCGCAACGTGTTTTTGCTGTCGATATTCAATTCTCAGATGGTACACTGAGAGATTGACCCTCCTAAGTGGTACAAAATGCGTCAAATAGTGACGTGAGGATAGACGCCGTTGATAATATTATACATGAGTTATCTCTTACTGCTAACCTCTACATGCGCTGATAATTTAGAAATAATTAATTCACTGATATAATAAACTGAATTTCTATGTGATTAATTATAGAAGATATTTTTAGTTTCAAGGTAGTACATTGTTTGAATGGTGTCAATTTTTGTTAAGTCTTGAGTTGTGATCTCTTTAATTATGTCTTTCAATGCAGCTAAAATAGAAATTTACAGTGATGAAAGTGATGTAATGAAAAAATTTGCAGACAACTATCAGTAGAAACAGAGTCTGTCAACATCACAAGTTGTGCATATCATAATTACAATCTAGTTTACGTTATTTCCAGGTCTATGACATATTTTCTATCATTATTGTTCTCTAACCTTTTTTATTTTTATTAACATCTTTGTATTGACATCTCTCTTCTCTATTTATATCCATCTTATACAGGTATACATGTTTAGTTTCTTTTGTTGTTGTTTTTGTCCTTTGAGGTTAATCTTTAAGTAAACTAATATCATACAATTTATTTGATACAATTGTATAAAGATTAAACGTATTTAACATTTTCTCTTATTCAAATTTTTTCAATTAAAGTAACTAAAAATAATATGGGTGAACATGTAGGCTGTATATATTTACTCTTTTTTTCTTTTATGATTTGCAGAAGATTATTATTACAGACCATCGTATCTAAAAAACATTTATCAGTTATCCTAGAGTTTAAATCGAGGTGAAAATCAACTCATCTAATATATTGTCATTATAAAAATCAATTAATCTTTGAAATAAAATGAATTATTATCTAAAAACATACTTTCTATCTATCCACTGTATCCCAAATGAATTAAATCGAAAAGAATTAATTGAGGAAGAAACATTTTTTCTTTTTGACAATAAATGATTTGTTTATGTAAAAAAAAGCATCCATTCAAACATAAAATGATAATTGAAGTGAAGTTTTGTTTGTTTTTGAATCTTAAAAAATATTTGAAAAGTAAAAGAGCACGATAATATTAGTTTTCTGAAATAGACATATGAATGACATAGAAAATAATTAGAATAAATTATTGATTAATAGGGAGATGATTTTTGTGTGCTAGAATAAATATTTTTTTTTCTTTTTCGTCTTCTTGATGAAAAATTATTTTAGATTCAAAGTATAAAGGTCGCTTACATATTTAAAACATTTCTTAAATATCTACACTTTTAAACGTATATTGGATCTTCTTTCTATTTTCTTAATGAATTTCGACATATATTCACGCATCTAACATAAATGTTTATCGATGTTTTATTGTGTGAAAATAAAAACATGTTTAAAATAAAAATAGATCATATTTTATTATTCTCAGACTAAAGATATCAATTTAAGTGAAATATCGTTTAATTTCGATCCCTCGGTAAGATAATAAAATCATGAATCAAAATGTCCTCAGAAAACTATCGACGTATATTATCTCTATTTTTACAATTTAGAATAATTATTATTAAACAAGTATCTAGTATAGATAATTATTTTTTTATTAGAATAAATGATACAAATTCTTTTTCTTTCCTCTCTGCGTTCTCTACATTTCCTTTATTGAAAAAAAACGACATTTTTTTTTTTTTTTCGTCTTCTCTTTTTAACCATGTAAGTGAGTGAATGAGTACGTCTCTGCATGTGAATTTGAGAATACAAGAATCTTTTTCCTTCATCGAGCTTTATTTTTTTCTTCTTCCACTATTGATTAAAAAGTATGAACATTCTTTCATAATGAGTATATAAACTCATGTTTCTTCTTCGTTTCTATCTGTGACTGGAAGTAATAAATCCGTATCATCATCAATTTTTTTGGGAATGATTGTAATTAAGTTATGATTAATAATAGAAAAATACCATCACTATCCTCTTCTTCACCCGCAACATCTTCCGATTCTCAATCTTCATCTCCATTATCCAGATCATTTTGTACACAAGAAGAAGAAGATCAACAACAATCGGAACACTATCAAGTTCGTCGTCGTATAAAACCAAATGATTGTTCCGAAAATAATAGACGTTTTACATTACACGGTATATTGCCAATCATTGGGAAACAATTATCGGATCATATTATTACATCTAAAAAGTCTTTACTCGGACAAATAAATGATATTAAAGACAAACCACAACAACAGATAGCACGTTTGAGAAAACGAGCATCAAGTCTAATGCCATCACCATTATTTCTCGATAGAAATGATAGAAGAAAATCGGTAAGATTTCTTCATTTTAATATTAAAATTCTCTATTTGAAGTTATATCATCTAAAAAATTCATGATTTTTAAAACTTACTTATATTAAGTAGAGTTAGTACTTATCAATTTTGAAAAGCGTAATAAAAACCTCACTACATGCTTCTAATTTTTCTACCTTACTAAGAAGAAAGTAATAATTTATCCTATATTCAAGTCATTTCTGACAATATATCGTGTTTTTTTATCTTGTTCGTGTTGTAAAATATTGGCAAACAACTTTCACATTTTAGCCCTTTTGAAAATATTTTTTTACTACAGTTTATGTTCAAGACCTTAAAATGTCAGAATTTCTTAGTAAAAACAAGCAAAAAATAATAATTATTGTGTTTTATGTAACTTCAGAAACACTTTATATTTTATATGCGTGTTCATTGTTTTTTAGAAGACTTTTTATTCACGTATTATTCTAAAATGGATGAGATTATAGATTTTCCGAAATGTTCAACGAAATTCTGCTATAGAGAGAGAGAGAGAAAGTTTAAAATGTACTCGAAAAAATGATAAGTACAAGTTCAACATATATTTTCACAATATTTGTCTTTGTATTGTGAATGTTACCACTGGACTATACCATAAATCTTTGCGTTTTTCTCGCATTTCTCAATAGGATATAAACAAAAAAAAAAATGAATTCATATTACTTGTTGATCTAATTACACGATTCACGCTAATTGATCACAGTGTTCATGATCTGTAGTCATTCACAAGCGATAAAAAGAAATGTGAAGATTTTTATGAAATTGATATGTTATAAATAAATGTGTTTGTATATATCATTCTGCATGAGTAGGTTGAATTCTCTTGAGTAAAAAAAGAAGAGAGCAGTTCAATTTTTTGGTCTAACGGTAGTTTTTTGTTTTCATATATAATTTTTTATAATATATTTCACATTGAACTACTATTTTCATTAAATAATTATAGAATATTATATTATACATATAGATATGCATATATACACTGATTGTTTGATTTATATGAGATTCAAAATGTTTAAAACAAGAGGAATACATGTATTAATCCATTTAAACTATGAAATAATTTAATGTTATATTCTCAAATTTAGAATATTTATTAGAAATAACATATTCTATTACAGACAATAAAATATCTACGTTATTTAAAATGCGTACTGTATCATTGAAAAACTTCAAAAAAAAATAATATATGAATAGTTAATTATTAATAATCAAGACGAAGCAGAAGCTATTTTTAGATTCCATGATGTAATTTTTTGATGTTTATAAAATGTGAGAGAAAGAAGAAAAAAAAAGAAATCAGTTTGACATTTATATACCATAGGGATTCGTACGTAGATATTATATTTTTTTTAATATTAAACTAAATATTTTTTGTTCAGATAATAAGTGTTGATGAAATCTATCGACGTATAAATTCAAATAATTCAGCTACACTTGGTTTTGGTATAACAGCACCAAAACTTTTACAACCATCATTAATTTTATCCGAAGAGCAAACAAAAGAAGTAAGATATTTATCTATATTATAATAAATCTTTCTAACATTAGTTAAATATATATGTTTTAGATTTTAGTTGAATTACCTGCTCGTGTTCATGGTTCAAAATGGAATTTAACATTTTCAACAGAAAATCATGGTTTCAGTTTAAATGCGTTATATAGACGATCAATGGAACAAGATTTAGATAGTACATCACTTTTAATTGTCAAAGATGTTGAACAGAATGTATGAAATAATTTAGAAATAATAATGAAAATAATAATAAAATAAAATTTCTCTCGTTTTTTATAGATATTTGGAGCTTTTCTATCTTCACGTTTAATGATTAGTGATGGATTTTATGGTACTGGTGAATCGTTTTTATTCACATTTTATCCAACATTTAGGGTATAGTTTAAATAAAAACAATAAATATATGATTTATTATATGTCTCTGTCTATTTTTAAGGTTTTTCATTGGTCCCATCATAATTTATTCTTTATCAAAGGTGATTTACATTCTCTTGGTTTTGGAAGTGGAGAGTAAGTTTATTTGGACACTTTGTTTTTTAGAAAGATTATTTAAAGGCAAAATTTTGTTATTTCTTAATTTTTATAATATCTATTTGTATTTCATTTCAGAGGTACATATGGTTTGTGGTTAGACTCTGATTTATATCATGGTCGAACGTGTCCAAGTAAAACATATAATAATGACTATTTGACACGTAGTGAAGATTTTATTGTTAGTCATGTTGAACTATGGTCATTTATTGATTAATTCATACATATTAAAATTTTTATATTTCCATACAGTATTTCTTTTTTTTTGTTGTTTCTTCTAAAATTTAAATGGGCCAACAATGTTAAGACAAAGTCATGCTTCTTTTTTCTTTTCTTTTTTTTCTACTTGTAAATAAATTTGTTGACATCGTTCATACAACAGTATATGTGCACTTCAGCAATAGAAGTTCTCTTTGTGGCAAGAAAAAAAAAAAACAATAATTCTCTTCTGTATTTTCTTTCTTCTTTCATACTTATTCCTTGATTTTTCACCACCAACAATGTGTTTTATCTTCTTTTTCTCCTCATTTGTATAAAGAAATTTCGCTTTTTTTCGGGTCTAAACATTTCGTTTTTTTTTTTAATTTTATTTCTTCAGTACATGTGCATATGAGAGCAATCAATGTTTTTATTTCGTGTTTAAATTAAAAACAACAACAACAACAATAATCACACATTGTCCAAATATCAACCTTGTAGTTGTGCGTATAAGTTTTTATATCATCATTTTTATGCGTTTGACAAAAAATAAACAATACTATCATTGATATTTGCAAATACATTATAAATACTTTTCTGTAAGAAAAATGAAAACCCTAAAATATATGCAAAAAAGAATAATTGTTTTAATTAGCAGCAATTTTCATTCTCTGTCTGTCAATGCTCATCTTTTTTTTTTGTTGTTGTTGTCCCTATGTTTCATGAACAAAATATCCCTGTTTATTTTTTGTCTTTATATATAATACGTAATTAATCTTCTGAAGAAACATGTGAACGTTGATGACATATATATTTTTATTTTGTTTTTTGTAATTGATTATTTCACTAGTTATGTTTGTGATTCCAACATTTTGATATGTCTCAAGGCAGCATTAACTTTGAAATGTAATCGTGATTCTAATTGATAATCTATGTAATCATTAACTGCCTTATTTAAACAATCTTTTGCCTTTTGAAATTGTTGTGTATAAATGAACAAAAAACCCTTTTCCATATACGCATTTGGAGTTAAATAAGATTTTGATTCATATTGTTTACTCATTTGAATGACATTGTTAAAACATTCGTGTGCCTCATCATAATTTAGTAAAAAGCCTTTGATAACACCTTTCAATAGTAAACCGGTACCTAAATAAAATAGAAAAATATTTTATCATATAGAGCTGTTTTGATGCACAGTTGATCATTCATATTGGTGAAGGAATCTATCATCATTGTTCTAATAGATAATTTGTAGCAATTGCAAAGTTAATAAACAATTGAGATTTTTATTTTTGATAAAAAAACTTATAACAATGAATAAACGGTATTAAAATGAGTTTTCTTTAGTTTATTTCATTTACCAGTGAATATAAAAGAAGAACTGTAGAAATAAATAAAGCAATTTGTTTGAAGTAAGATCAACGGGTTTTAGATAAAAAAAGGAATGACTCATTTTGTTATTAAAAACGTTTCTCATATCGTCTAAGATAAATTGTGATGTCAACGAGCTAATCTATATGTCTTATTTGATGAATTTTCGAACAAAGAGACTCATTTATCCTTAGACTTACCCAAATTATCTATATAAAATTTATCATGTGAATATTTCTGTTTTATTTCATTTAAACTATTATTAATTGTTTCCAGTGTATTCAACAGTTTATCTCGATTTTTTCTAAGAATATAGAATCCATTCCACATATAAATAAGTTCATAACCAGGTAATAATAGCCATTTTTGTGTGAGAAAATGTTCACATTTTTTAATTGCATATTTTTCCATTGGTATCGATTTGCCAGCAATTCTTATTTTTAGTTCCGGTACACGTTTAAATAATTTAAGTAATTCTTCCTTCACATGATCTTGATATAATTCATATTTGAATACAGCTGCATAATAACAAAATATTGCCTTTGACCAATTAGATTCATTCAGTAAAATATGAGAGATTCTACTGGCGTCTTTCCAATTATATTGCAAGACATAACACCACATCATTTCCCATTGAGAGATCTAAAATAAAATATTCATGTAATTGTGCGTATATTTAACAGATCGATCTTTTTGTAAAATAAGCGAAATTGTATTGTCTCAAAAAAAAGACTTGATTTTTCTTAGATCAAAAGATCTAACATTGTTTACGTCTGATTACGAACATGACATATACCTAGTGGATACGATTAGAAAGAAAAAGGAGGAACAGAAAATTTCTGTCCTTTCTAAAATTTTGAAAAAGAACGTCTCGCTCGTTAAAAGCTCATTTTCTCCGAAGAAAACAATTTTTGTGATCAATGGAGAATGTTTTTTGCTTTTTCCAACTCATTACCTTGGCACAAAGTAACTTCCTTACTGAAAAATTTCTCTCTTAAAATTCTTCAAGTCGAAAGCTATATATATATATATATATATATTGGTATATAGGTAATAGAAAGTGGCAATAACTATGTCAATGAACTAAACTCAATTCATTTTCTTGTCAACATTTCAATCTACAATGTTTACAATCATTTATTTTCATGTTCTATTTCAAATTACATGATGTAAATGTTTCCAGTCGTTTTGGATACTAATTGTTTTCTGATAAATGATCACCGCTTCGTTCAAATTACATAATAATAATTCTATACGTGCACGAAAAAATAGAAATATACACGAGTGTGGATAAATTTTCAAATATTTATTCAATAGTAAACTCGCTTGATCTAAATTACCTTCACCTAAAAACAAAATTACTGATGATGCATCATCCACAAGACACGTGTTGAGGAACTTATATTTTGCAAAAATTAAAGTGAATAGAGGTCTTTCAAGAAAAAAATATTATGGAATTCAAGAATTTCATACTCAGTACAGTTACTATCCATTTTGTTTATGCTTCAAAAGATATTTATTCAAAATAATGTGAAATGTTTTGATAATAGTAATAAATTTCATTACAATATAATATAATGTGCTATTGGTGTTATTTGTTCAATAATGTCTTGATGAGGATTCGAAAAAAGACTAAATAAGCGTTTATATATCTAAATGCTACTACTTTTCTTTTTCTGAAACGTTTTCATCAGCATTCACACGTGCTATTTTTATATGAATTTGTGAATCTTCTTCTGTTTATTACTATTATCAAAACATTTCACATTATTTTGAATAAATATCTTTTGAAGCATAAACAAAATGGATAGTAACTGTACTGAGTATGAAATTCTTGAATTCCATAATATTTTTTTCTTGAACGAATTTCTTGTTTCGTGCGTAACTTTCGCGGTGCGCGCAACTTTTGTCGTGCGCATTTTTCGGAATTCGAGTGAATAGGCGTATTGCGTGAGAAAATCATTTCTATAACGGTCGAAACGATTTTGATGAAAGCTGATGAGAGATTTAAGAGTTCGAGAAGGTGCTCTTTTCTTTTTTGAACAACTGAGAAAAAATTAAAATGACTGAACCTAGAGCTTTTCTTGAAAACCACAGCTTTTAACAGACCGATGAAAAATAACTAATTTTTTTGTTAAAAATTCCTTCGTCTTTTGAAAACATTTTGAATCATCCACTGTTCTCAAAAATGTATGAACACAAAATATTTCTTCAATTTCATTGTGGATTTTTGACTTAAATTTTAAAATTTCAAAAATTGGATGTTTTTTCATTAGCACCTAGTGTAATGTAAATACAAATCAGAACCTTTTGAAAAAAGACGTTTTAAAAATAGAGTTTAAAAATCTGAACGAAGGCGGTTTTTGCCTAAGTCTGGGTTTCAAACCTAAGTGGATATTTTATTTTTTGAAATTTAAGAGCGTATGGTGAATAATGGTTTATGCTGTGTGATACAGATTTTTTCGGAATAAAAAAAATCCCGTTACAAGAGAAAATATGCTAAAATCTGATTACAAATTTCTCAAAACCATTTCAAAAACTCGTTGTAAGCCAAGCAAAGATCCGGTCGGTTAATATGAGATCACACGATCATAGTGCAACGAAAAAACCTGTATTGAAACGTGAAATTTTCATGGTCTCTAAAAGAAGAAGCGTAGACTATAGAACTCTATAAAAAAGGGTTTACGAGTGAGAAAGGTTTTGAACATGATTCTCAAAATCAAAATGGTTTGGATGCCGTCCTAGAAAATCTTTTGGTTGTTTTAGTAAACAAAGAGGATTCGGTAGTCATTTAAAAACAATCTTTTCCGTTCTTCTAAATATTCAAAGGGTATTTCGAAAAGCGTTAGAACTTTATTCTCAAGTCTAGTCGAAAAACTCACTGTTAAACGAGTCAATTTTCATGGGCGAAATCGGTTCGGCCGTTATGATGAAAGTTTTCTCAGACAACACTTCTGTTGATGATCAGACAGAATGGGAAGATGCTTGATAAGTTCAAGTAAACTAACTTACTATTAACATATATTTGTTGTATGAATAAATAATATGTTAATAAAAATAGAGCTGATAGTGGTGCTCTTAATCCATTTGATATGGCTGATTTTTTTAATTCTATTAAACCGACATCGGTCTTACCAGAAAAGCCCACCAACGATAAATACTTTGTAATTCTCTCAGGTAATGTGCTAGTAATTATATTAAATACGCCTATTCCCATTCTTACACCCGAATCAAAATGTTCATAAATTTGTTTTGATGAAAATATTTTTGTGTTATATTCATTAGTATTATCTATTTGAGAATATTTTGTTAATTTTTTAAATACATCATTGCATTCTTTCATTTTCATTCCACCACGGATAAACGAAAATAAATTTTGATCTTGTAAAAAAACCAATAATGAATGCAATAGTAATACTTCGGCGCTATAAAAAAAGAACAAAATAGAAATATTATCGATTGTAGAGCTATAAATTATAGAAGAATCAAATGTACTTACTAAACTAATCTGGCATGTAATTCGTATCCCGTTGATATTTCCAGTGATGCATTACTCTCACTAAACCATGATTTCTCAATGATTTTTTTTGTTAATGTTATAGTTTGTTTAATTGCTTGATTTGTTGTTTCAATATCATCCATTTGAAACGACATGATCGCTTGCATAAATCTTAAACCACTATGACAAAGACTATGATAGATGGATTTTGATTCATTATTTTTTGAATATTTTAATGCTAAGTATAGAAAAAATCAAATCAAAATGTATCTTTTATTTTGAAAACAAATTTAGATTAAACTCTTCTGACTAATTCAAGTATATACTGATCATTTGATTTGATTATGAAGGATATACTTTGTTCCCCTTCCATCATACCTTCATTTAAACGATTTTCAAATACTAATTTCATTATGCTCATTGCTTCAATTAATGATTGTTGCAAATCAACTTTTTTCGCATGACTAAATATGTTTATTGATCGTGCATCTGTCAGAGATTGAACACTGTATCTTAGTGATGCTTCTGTCATTTCTTGTTTTCGAATGGGAATCAAAATTCCTTCGTCACCACACGTATTTAGAGCATCAAAAAAGATATCATCGTCGACATCGTTATCGTCATGAATCCGTTCTTTTTGAGAATTTTTTAAAGATTTTGCTATTTTTTTATTGAAACTTTCACCACTGGATTTAATAATGTTTAGTGTTGTTGTTAAATGTTGCTGCGGTTTTAATATAACAGACATTTTACAACAAAGTCATATTTGTTTAAATTTGAAATATTTTCGATCATACATTCGAGATTTGCATTTGTTAACTAATTTATCAATAAAAAGACTGACATCATTGATATTTTAAGAAAAAAATAGTAAATTACGACAAATAAATAATTTTGATTCCAAAGCGCGTGATGTGTGAACATGAAAATATTTATTACTTTATGTTTTCTTAGTTACCACTCAAAAATTGGAAAACTGACTTATGCGTGTGAATAATATGTGTAGAAAAAAAATCATCTTCGAGTTTCTGCTATGCCAGCCACTTACGATAACTGAAGGTCCAATTTAACGTCACTTTATGTTAGTTAGCGTACATTAGTACATTGTTATGCGATGGAACCTGAACTGTGGTAATTATTTAGCTTTTCCTTAGAGATGGACATACACATGAATTCTTGAGATTAGCTGAGCTATCCTTCAATTACCAGCTAAGCATTTGACTAACTCAGTGACGAATCCAGAAATTTTTAGGAGAAGAAAGTGGTTGTCAAAAAAACCTTCCAGATTTAGTAAAAACAATTTCTTCTATTTTTATGTCGACAGTGTGAAAAACGAGGTGCACATTTTGCCAAAGAAAGAAAGAAGAAAATAACTAGAATGCAAGTGTGCTACGCACAAGTTGCAATGTCGACAGACTCTGTCTCTGACGGAACCTACCGCTCCAAGCAGATCTTACCAGTAGACTGTGAGCATTGCATTTTGCTTTGATTTACTCAATATACATATATATTTATATATATTGAGTAAATCAAATCAACACAGATACTTAGGGCATACCGAAAGTACGGGCAGTGACACTTTAATACCGAATAGTAGGCTTAAAGTAACTTTCGTCTATATAATCTGATAGAGAAAAAAACTGAACAAAAATACTTCAGAAATCAATATTAGAAAAGCCTATAATATATGATTCGACGCATCTTCATTTCCTCTTTCCAACGGTAAACACCGCAGCTCCTTATCTTGTTTTTATCAAAAGTTATTCAAAAAATACTCACTAGCATTCATGCGAACAAAACAGATCTTATCAAAATGATGCTCCTTGATTGTCTGGTAGAATGTCGAGTCAGCCTTTGAGAGGCAAGAACGAGATCACTATCGTGCGAAAGAAGAAGAGTGTCATTAGCAAATAATCGAATTGCACTTTCAATTCCTGTCGGCAAATCATCAATGTAGATGAGAAATAATAAGGGTCCAAGGATCGAGCATTGAGTGCGATGAAAGGTAGCTCGGAAGAGAAACTTAGGACTATGTTAGGTTGGCTATCCATTAAAGAACACTTTCATATCACTCAGATCGTTTTCTACTCTCAAATTGTGCATGGCCTTGCCCCAGAATATCTGCCATCTCAAATCCAGCAACAACAAACTACTGCTGTACATAATTTAAGAAGTAACATGCAACCCATAATGCAACCTGTATTTACTCTACTCTCTAAGAAATGGAACGAATTAGATCCAACATTATACTTATTAAAGGCGAAACCATTACGTAAAAAACTGAAACAGAATGCTTTGAATCTGCGAACCGAATCCCCTGTTAAAAGAAGCCTCAATTTTCCATCACGACAAGCTGAAATACTTTTTATACGATTGAAATGTGGCAATCCCCAACTAAATGCCAATTTACACTCCAAAAGATGTGTTTCATCCTCTCTTTGTGCATGCCGAGGAGCTAATGAAACAGTCAAGCATTATTTATTAGATTGTTCGACGTATGTTTTAGAAAGAACTGATCTGCTACCCGGTCTGAGCTTCCTGCCTTGTGTGTCGGTGGCTAGTTTATTCGGAGTTTGTGGGAGATGTTTGATCGAGAGTCAAGTTATTCTGAATGAGATATGCCGATATATACTACGGACAGTGCGATTCTGAGAAGTTTACGTTCTGTCTTGCTGCCAGTATAAGTAGAACAGTAGAAGTGAATACCCCAGAACCCGAATGCCCATCTCTTGCGTGAGCTTTCTCTTTTCCTTTTTCTTCCTTTCTCCTTTTAAGCTCATTATACGTTCTTTTTAATACATTTTAAGGCGAAGCCGCTTGCGCAATCGTTCTTTTTTCTTTTTCAATTAAAAGCTTAAATAAAAAAAAAGAAAGTCAATAGATTCAGCGTTAATTAGACAGTCTTATTTACATCATAATAATTATGTGAGTTATCGCGCAGCAGCTATAAATCATCAGATAAAAAAGTATCACACAGATTCGTCTCTCAATACGAAAATTAAACAAAGATATAAAACAGCCGTCATTTCAGCACGTTTAAACAATAAATTCGATTCAGCTGCCTTAAGGAAGATCTGGCTGCAAAAGAGAAATTTAAATCGTGAAACCAAGGCTTTACAAAAACGTTCTAAGAATTATTCGCAGCTTTCTTTGATGTTCAGTCAATACAATAATGTACATGTAAAACAGGTTTTGTACAAGTATGCCACGTTAGACAAGAAAAAAATAGAAGTGCTTAGAACAAAAGTTAATGAAATGAAGGATAAAATGAAGGGAAGTTTAGGTTCATTTTATGTTAAATAGTATAAAAAGTTTCAAACTGTTGCAAAAGAAGGACCAGACTATGTATGTTCAGTGTAATTGTTGTATGTTTATTTATCAAATGGACCGATGTGATCGATCTGCTTTCTTGACTGAATTTTTATCAGATGACAAACGAGGAGAATTAGAAAAGTGTTTTTTTTTGTTGCAAAATCAATTTCAGACAGTAATGAATGGATTTGTCGCTCCAATGGAAATGTGCTCGTCAACTTAGACCGAAAGAAGTTCCGCCTAGAGCTCTAGCAAATGGTTTAGAAGTTTGCACTATTCCTGATGAATTAAAAAGACTTAATTATCTTGAGAAACTGTTAGTTGCTCTGGTAATTCCTTTTATGTACATCGTTGATCTATTATCTTACAAGCAACGCGGTACTCATGGTCCACTTTATTGTGTGTCTGCTAATGTTCATGAAACAGTTACAGCTCTTCCTCGTCCAGTTGGTAAATCAATGATAATTCCGTTTGAATTAAAAAGACGAATTCAATACAAAGCTGTATGGAAAAAACGTTTATTAATCCAGCACATACTAGAGAAGCTTTAGAATGTCTTAAAAGTATGAATGACAATTATAAAGAGATAGAAATTAATGAAATTGATGATAATTATCTTGCAAATCATCCAGCTACAATGGATAGGCGGGTTAGTGCTGATAAGGATGAGAGTGAAACAATAGATGATAGAACTGAAAGTGAAGTTAACGATGTTGTTGGAGAAGCAATGCAGGTAGATAATAACAATGATTATAATGTTGCTTACGCACAAACTGCAGCCGATGGTGTTGGTGAAAGAAACGATAGTGATGATAGTGTTCAAGAAAATGCTGCTGATGTTGAGGCAGGAGCTTTAGAAAGTGATAGTGAAAGTGATTCAGATAGCGAACGAAATAGGAGTAGAAGATACAGACGATGTAAATTTAATTTTAGTACACATTCATGTTTACAACCTACAGATTTAGAAAATTATGTTTTAGATCAAAAGATAGTTAGTCTAGCGCCAGCAGAATAGAATAAACGGTTGTCTTTGTTGAAAGATCTTACTGTTGAGACTTTAGCACTTCCCCATATCTTTCCGATGGTAAAGGTACAATTAACAATCCGCGTGAGAAAAGTCTATCATATTCTTTATATTGTAATACACGACTTTTCTGTGTTGATCCACGCAGAGGATGCTACAAATGTTTCTTTTCTTCAATATCTCAACGATTTAAAAAAAGCATATTCATGTTTATCTATAGATGTATGTACGGCAAATTGAGAAGTGTACGTTCTTTTTTCAAACATAAGTCCAGTTACACAAATAGAACCAAAATGTTTGTTGGGCTTAGAAGCCTTTCCTACGTTTATAAGACTCAATTGTCCGGCACCATTTGTTCTTGCGACGAAATATGATTATTTCTCTCTTGTCTTTTTTCTTTTAGATTATAATTAAAACTTTTATTTATTACTGCTATAAATCATCGAGAAGAATAAAGTTTTTTCGATTTTTTAATGATCTCACTGTCTCTGTTAATATAACAGACATCGCAATTTGTGCGCAGCACAATTGCATTCTAGTTATGTTGATAGACATTATGTGGTTTTACTGTTTTTTTTTTTTGTTTTTGGTTTGTTTAGTCATTTTTTTACAAAATGTGCACGACGTGATCTAGCGAACTACACTACGTAGAAAAGTTCTGAAAACGGGAGGATAATTTCCCGAGACTGCAGTCTTCTCGTGATCTAGAAAACTTCTGGAAAAGGTAGGATAATCTCCCGACATTGAAGATTGATAAATGCACGTTTGTTTTTCAAAACTACGTCCAGATTCGGCGCCATAAGCTACACAAGTAGAAGTAAAATGTTTTTTCGACTTAGAAACTTTTCGTACATTTATAACAGTTGATTGTCCAGCGCCATTGTTCTTAAGAAGAAAAATAATTACGTCGACAGACATTATGTGTTTTTGTTGGGATTTTTTGTTTTTTATTTTCTTCTTTCTTTGTTTCTTTCGTCGCCTTTCTAGGCGAAATGTAATCTAGACAAGTATGAAAGCTAGATAAGTTCTGGAAAAGGTACCGACATTGGAGATTGATCGATGCACATTTTTCTCTCAAATAAAGGTCAAGATTCGATGCCATAAGTGAAAAAAATGTATTTTGGGCTTCAAAATTTTTCGTATAGTCAGTTGTCTGGCGCAATTTGCTTTTTACTGGAAAAATAATTCTCTCTCTCTTCTTTAAATTTCGTTTTCATTTTATTTTTCTTAAATCTATCTTTTAAAGCAACTAAATCACAGCGAACGTGATGTGGTAAACTCTCTATTGACAAATTCCGCTTCTGACAAATTCAGGTCGGATACAGTCTGACCACATCGCAACTTGTGCGCAGCGCAATTGCTCTCTAGTTTAATTCTTTGTTCTTATAATTATAAATAAAAATAGAAAGACATTTAAGACATTCTAATTTCAGATTCGCCGCCATAAGTTACACAAATAGGAGTAAAATATTTTTTGAACTTCAAAACTTTTCGTGTGTTTATAAGACTTGATTGTCCGGTGCCATTTGTTCTTGAGACGAAATGTCAGATAAATATACTTAGGGCATACCAAAAGTACGAGCAGTAACACTTTAATACTGTATATTAAGCTTCAAGAAATTTTCTTTCTATGCAATCTGATAGAGAAAAGAATGCTCTATTTTTCTATACTATATGATCATACTTCAACTAATATAGAAATTTCATCGGAAAAGATTAGCAAGAAACTGCGGATTTCAAAATCGCCTGGCGTATCGATTAACCAAGACGACATCAACGCTTTTCTTTGCTGAGTCTGTTAGTCAACACATAAAACAATGGAACGCGCTGAAGATCAAAAATCCGTTTTCGTTAGATCAGTTTATTGCCGGATTGAAACAAAGATTATTCTCGTCGGATACAGTTGAAGAATTGTGCCGTTTGATCGTAACATTCAACGTTTTCATCGACATGGTATCGAAACTGGTGGATCAGAAAATACAAACATGAAAATTACTTAAGTGATATAAATCATCGGCTAACGGCTGCCAATAAGTGGGCTGCTAAACTCGAAGCAAAGCTAAATCGTTCAACGGAGATTATCAAGCGCTGCAAATCCTTACATTTACCTTTCCAAAATATTACTGATAAGAAGGTATTTGTACTTCGTTTTAGACATCCGGGGATACTAATATTGATGTTTGATTTCTCAATAGAGCGGCCATGGATGTGTTTGGGATAACTAGAGAACAAAAGGAGATGGAGAGTTCAGGTTTTCACCATTTTGTAGAGAAGCTTTTACTGTGTTGTGCTTATTAGCAGAACAAAACCTCAGTATCAAAGCTGACCGGGGCAAAACACTGACGTGACACCACAAACGAGACAAAGAGAGATAGATCGGATTTTTACACGTTTTCGACATCAGTTTAGCTATGACTAATGCCATCTTTTCCACCAATACAGTTCTTCCTAGTTCTTTTGTAAGCAGTTTCATTTCGTGGTTGAACGTGTGCGCCAAAATTCTGTTCTTCTTTTTGCTGCTGATAAATTCAGTTAAGGTCTTTTTGAGAACTAGTAGAAACTTTTAGTTCCTTGTCGGATCTTCGCAGTCTAGTGTTAATGGTGCTATCACCAACATCTTGGCTGTGAACGAACCAATCGGCTGTTGAACTTCTAGTGGGATTGACTATTTTGAAAAGTTTTTTCGAATACATAGGATGCAGCGGGCACCAGTGACGATTTTGGCTTCTGTTTCTGTTTCTTTCTTCAACTCGACTTCTTCGTAAATCGATTTTCGATGCCTGGAGACTGGACGTTTCGTTTTACTGAGTTGAAACTTTATTTTTAAGTCATTTATCTCTTTTAGCACCAATGACGCAAAATGTTGAATTTTTTCTTTCAAGGTATTAGCACATTTCGTTATCGATTCTTTGATGATACAAAGCGCCGATGTTTCTGCACCGCCAGATGGCACGGAGCAACATTACGTTTACTTGCTACTGATACATCTGGTTGAACTGCCTGAAACATCAGTATTTTGTACTGCACATGACTTCAATAGCTCCCGTTTATGTAACTGGCGCGTATAGGCTTTACTCTGTATTTACATATATTTTGTGTTAAAAACCGCGGTTTACTCTTTTATTTCTTATTTTTTTTCTTTATCAGTTAGCTCTTTTTAAAAGTTTTAGCATCATACCATACTAACACATCATTGGCTATCAAGCCATGCACCAATGAATTTTATATCATTACTTTTGACTGAGCCACAAGTTTTTTAAAATGAGGACTAGGACTTTAAGTTTTAATTAAAATTAAAATTAAATTAATTAATAGCTGTGGATAGCTATCAGTTCATCAAAAACAAAACTTAAGGATATATGTAATCAGTAATATTTTGGAAAGGTAAATGTAAGGATTTGCAGCGCTTGATAATCTCCGTTGAACGATTTAGCTTTGCTTCGAGTTTAGCAGCCCACTTATTGGCAGCCGTTAGCCGATGATTTATATCACTTAAGTAATTTTCATGTTTGTATTTTCTGATCCACCAGTTTCGATACCATGTCGATGAAAACGTTGAATGTTACGATCAAACGGCACAATTCTTCAACTGTATCCGACGAGAATAATCTTTGTTTCAATCCGGCAATAAACTGATCTAACGAAAACGGATTTTTGATCTTCAGCGCGTTCCATTGTTTTATGTGTTGACTAACAGACTCAGCAAAGAAAAGCGTTGATGTCGTCTTGGTTAATCGATACGCCAGGCGATTTTGAAATCCGCAGTTTCAAGCAATAGATTGCTTTTAAACAAAATTCTGAAATGCAATGCTTTTGAATGTTTTGGACTCTACATGATTCACTTTAAATTATTATAGTGCAGTTCCACTTAGATCTGTATGAACTTCCATGTATGAAATGGAACGATCGAGCTGAGAAAACATGAGCGCATTTTAACAAGCGTATTCTCCCGCTTGAGCGTATTTTAATGAGCTAACTACGACAGTGCTACTGTCGTTAATCTTAAAAAATTTACTTTTCTTGTGTAGATTTCACTCCGAACCTAGCACGACATTCATTTTACTCTTTTAATAGAAGAAAATATATTTTTTGTTTAGAACTTTTTTGTTTCAAAACTACAGAGAATTTATTTAAATTATGAATGACATACGAGCGCGATTCGTCTGTTTCCCTCTAGCAACGAGCGCGCTTGTACACCGAGCGCTCGACCGCCAGCTCAATTCGTCTCATATCTATCTATGTAGCCTCACATGGCTCTGCGGGTATTATATATCTATATATATAAAGAAGAAAGTTTGTTTGTATGTTTGTTTGTTCTCTATGCATTCAGTCCCTGTAAGAGCTAAAGCAGCCAAAATTTGCATGGCACACCCATAGGTCCAGGGGAAGGTCAAGAAGAGGTCGGCGAGACCGAAGGAGGAGGGGGGAGAGTTCCCACCCAGTTTTCAAAAAATGGTTGAAAGATTTTCGGATTTTTATGTTCTCCGATTTCTGAGGTACTTGCATCTTGCTTTTATATCTTCGCACTG